GTATTTTTGACAGAGAACTATTTAGAGAATTTATCTCAGGGCTAATTTGGAAAAATACTTGACTAGAAAGAACCGTTTTAAGAATTCTCTCTCTCTCTCTCTCTCTCTCTCTCTCTCTCTCTCTCTCTCTCTCTCTCTCTCTCTCTCTATATATATATATATATATATATATATATATATATATATATATATATATATATATATATATATATATATATTGTGTGTGTTTTGGTGAGAATGAGATCTTACTAAAGAAATAAGAATGAATAATAACCTTCCGATCCATGTCTTCATTCGTCAAATGCCAAAGGGCTTAAATGTATTTTTGCCCATCCACTCTCTCCAATTGGATCATCATATCCGGATTATTTGCAGTCAAATCAACCACACACTCTCTCTCCTTATACGAATGGCAATCTATTCCTTCCGTATGTTCTCTTCCAATCCTTCTCCTACGGGAATTCATTCTGATCTTTTTTGAACTCATATTCATCGGTCAATCATCATATATGGATTAAGGTTTGTTTTATGAGATTCTTCATCATCACAAATCATCCTCTTCATATTCATTAGAGTTTTATTCCTTTCAAGTCATATCAATTTTCTCTTAATCGTGAATTGTATATTATCTTGATGTTTCATATTCATTCACGATTCAGATGATACCTGCGTCACATGTTGCTTTAATCCAGGCTAAAACATGCATCACAAAGATTTGAAAATGCACCGTAAGATGTTGCATTATTATCAATGTTTAATGAATCCGAGCAGTTTCTCTTATTGCAAGGTATATGGAAAATGAATCATATTTCCATTGTGTTAGAGCTTAATTAACATCTTCTTTTGAGTCTCACTTTGTGTTGGTCAAGTTTGGTGTAATGTCAGATTTTAACATTTTATTTTATTAGACATATCATTTTGTATCACAGGTATTGCACACCTCTCCTCTATCTAATGCATTTACGTGATATGTCTATAAATTATTATTTTCTTTCATCTTCAATTACTCCTTATATTTATTCTACTCCCTCCGTTTTTAAAAACACTTCCTCTTTCATTTTTTTCACTTCCAACAAAACACTTCCACTTTATATTAAAAAATCACTTTTACCCTTACTTTTTCATACCCTACCTATCACATCATACTTTTTCTCTAACAATCTACCTATCACATCTTACTTTTACCCATCACATCAAGGGCAAAATTGGAAGTCAACTACAATTTAACACTTCCTTATTTTTCCACTTTTTCAAAGTAGGAACTCTTTTTGAGAACGGAGGGAGTATAATTTTTAATCCCCGTGGCATATTGTTTTAGAGCATTATATAAGATATTCAATATTTTATAAAGATTTTGCATTACATATATAAATATACGATTTAAAAATCATTGCCAATTAGCTCAAATGGTAGAGAAGTATGCATTTGTATAGAGATGTAGGTTCGAATCCCTCATTGGCACTTTTTGCTATTGTAACAAAAGAAATATATTTTATTAGTCAGAGACTAACATCAAACAAATATGTCTCTATGTGGTTAAATGAACAGTCTTTTTTTGAAAATTTACTTTTCTAAGAGGTTACCTCTACATTTTGAAGATTTACTTTTCATTATGGTGCATTAGTTTTGAACGGTATGTAACATGTTGAAGATTATGTGCAATATGTATTATAAATGATGCCAATATTTTAACAATTTTTTCTTTACATTTTTGGCCTAGGATATCACACAAATCTATCACTAAAGTGCATGCAAACTTTCTTTTATAGTCTTTTTATCTCTTGTTATGGTATACGAAGTATTTCTTAGTGTAACTATTCAAAATCTAAACTTTGGAATGATAATATTCACATAGTGTACTGCAATAATGTATTATTCAGCATACACATGTCCATTGTATGATGCATTTGAAACAACTCTAGATGCATCAACGTAAACAGTGAAATTAGCATTAGTTTCGAGTTGGTAATAGCGAAAAAAGTGGATTCTCTTTTGACCACTTTTGATTAGAAAATTTAAAATTACCTGCATGCCTTTCGGGTGGTTTCCCTCACTTCAAAAAAACACAAACATTAATTCCTCAAGTGGAATCCCAAATTCCCCACTAGGAAAATCGCATTTACTACATGCAAAAGTGTTTTTTTTATTTTATTTTTAAAAATGTCAAATATCAAATTCAATTATCCACCCCTTCTCATTCTTATTCAATATTCCCTTCGTCTCATAGTATTTGTCCACTTTTATTTTTACACACCATTCAATGCACTTCTTTAATCCATTTTATCTTGTAATTTGTATATTAAAAAATTATAGAAATTATATATTAATAATCTATATGTTAAAACAAATCAAACAAGATCACACATGACTATATTTATTAGGCTTACACATTGAGAGAATTTGATGAGTCAAAGTGCCTAGATGAACAGTTCTAAAAGTCAAAAGTGAACAAAAATATTATTCATAATAGAAATACAGAGTTTACAATATTATGGAAGCTTATTCAATCAGAATCACAAAACATAATTCATTTATGTCTTTTAAAATAACAATTCAAAACCTTCACATCTATCTTGACAATCTTGCCTCCATCNCAAGACTCTTAAATTGTAATTAGTTTAAGGATATTTTATTTTATTAATGAAAATCTTAAATTATAATTCGTTTAAGGCTAATAATATCCAAACTCTTATATTATAATTAGTTTAAGGCATATAATAAAGGAACCCTTAAACTAGAATAAGTTTAAGACAAATAATAATTAGACCCTTAATTTGGTAATGTGAAATTATACACTTACATATTTGATATTATATATGCATTGACATGTTTGTCTGTATGCATTGTTATCTTTGACATTGTGGATTCGGTTGACATTATAATGGTGTCACCGCCAAGGGAAAAAACTTTCAATATAATGCCAACTATAATCACAATGTCAAAGATTATAATGCATACTGACAATCATGTCATTGCATACTTAATGTCTAATTTATAAAGCATTTGGAAGCTAATTAAAAATCAAAATCATATATGGCGAAGCAGAGCACATCAGCGGCTAAGGTTCAAACGGTGCAGTTTGAAGCAGCTGCTCATGGCGGTAGTGACGGAGATTAAAGGGACATCGACATCAATGATGGTAGAGGCGTTGTGTCAGCGGTGGTAGAGGCGCGGTATCAGCGGAGATAGGGGCGTGGCAGCGGTTGGGGTGTCGGCGTTGCTGATAGCGGCATCGCACAGTTGAGCGGCCATTGATGGAAATTTTGTACGGTTGAACAGCATTGGCATGGCACAATTGAGCATGGAATGATAAATTAAGTGGAGAAGAGGGTACTCCTACTTTGGGGGTTTTATCTTTTAACTCCTATTTTGGGATTTAATCAATGTTTTACTCCTATTTTGCTCCTTAACCCATACAAATATATAAAATAAAATATATGCTTCTCATCTCAAATTAGAATGTACTTTTGAAAACAAAAGATTTTTTTAGAAATTATAACAAAAGAAAATGAAAAATAAAATATTGTGTACAAAGTAAAAATAATAATAGTTTGAAAAGGTAATAATAGTCTTTTTCTTTAACTCCATATTTTATGGGGCACACCGTGTGCACCCTATTAGATTTGATCATGGTTTAATACACCGCTCTCATTGAGCGATGGAGACCGGAGGTGTAACACACACTATTTAATTTTTTATTTTTTGAAAATCAATCTTATCTATTTAATTTAAAATATCCACTTGTAAAAAAAGTATTACTACTATTACTAATTTGTAATGTGTAACACACACTAAATATTATCAATCACCATTATTTAAAAATTAAAATTTTTAACATAGTATTACTATTATAATTAAAAAATGCATGTAGTTTAAAATATAATCCAAAAAGTCAACAATAATACTGCCGGAGTTCTCCGTACAACACTGAGGACAAAGATGTTTCATATACTATTTAAATAAAAACATGCAATTTCAATGCCTTTCTTTTTTTCTAACATTCTTGAACACTTTGTTGTTTTTCTAACTTTTTACCGTTCCTTCTAATTTTGTTTAGTATTTTCTAGCTCTTTCTAATTTTTCCTAGATTCAATTCTACTTTTCTACTCCGTAGCTCAAAAGAACACACTACCCTCTCGTTCAAAAAAGAATTATACCGTTCACTATTCATAACTTAATAACGAAAATTTGTGGGTTTTTTTAACATTTTGCATAAAGTAATAGACATTTCCCATTTTAAATTATCTGTTTGCCTTTTTTATCTGTCCCAAAATAAGTTGCATGTTACGGAGTACTCGTTATCGTAAACTTTTAAGAGTGAAATACCTAAACTACCCCTAAAATAAGTCATTCTTCTTCACCTTATCTTCTCATTCATCGTTACCCCTCCTAAAAAGTAATGGCAATTTCAGAAAATCAACTCTATTTTTTCTATTCCTTAAATATGCTCAAAAGTCAAAAGAAGTGATTTAAAACGAGACGGAGGGAATAGTAATTACTCCTTCCGTCCCGATAATCACATGAATTTTTATGTGTTTTCATTGATTTTATCACTCGTATTTTGTAAAACTTTCAATATAGTTTTAAATATGTAAATTTTATTTTTTTTATTTTCAAACTAATATTTAAATAAAATGAAAAAAAATTAAATTTTACTTCATTTTGCAGTGTTTCGTGAAAATAGTAATTTCAACAAAACACTTGTGAGTAATTTTCTGCAACTCCAGTTCAAAGGTACTCACTCTACTCCATTCATGTCAATATTTAAGTCCTACATTGAGAAATGACTTATGTTTTAGTATTATTTTAGTGCAAATTTCACTTAATTTTAACCTAGCAATTGTGCAATTGCGCATTACATATTTCAACAATTATCATTAATTAGTTAATAAAAAAATTAGATGAAGATTCTCAACAATTATCACTTCGAAGGGATACTTTTTAGCCTACTACCAATAACGAAATAACGTTAGAGACATATTTGAACCAATAGTTGATCATGTATAATAACAAATTTACTAACGTTGGGACATTTTTGAACCTTTTTTTCTAGAATAAAGAATAGTAACAGGGGTAGTGTACGAAGTACAAACTCCAACTCCAGTGGCTGGTCACTTTTAATTGTAGAACATAAGAAGACAAGAATTAGAAGCAAATACAGAACAATATATGAAAACTGCTCAAATGATGAGAACTGGCATTGCTTGGATTGTGTTGTCTTTGCTCTCTCTATCTAAGAAGAGCAACAACCAAGCTTCTTTACTGCAGAAACATCGTCCTTACCACCAACGTTAATGGTCTGTCCTTTGGGCAAAGCGGCCACATCATTCCCGGCATCCAGAGCTTTCCTGCTGACAACATGGTGTATCTGTGTGAGAACCTCTGTGAAGGCGTTCTCAACATTCATTGACTCCAATGCAGAGGTCTCCATGAAAAAGGTTCCCTCTTTTTCGGCGAACCTTTTCGCGTCCTCTGTTGAGACGGCTCTCAGGTGGCGCAGGTCGGATTTGTTCCCCACAAGCATGATGACGATGCTGGAATCCGTGTGGTCGCGGAGCTCCTTCAGCCACCTCTCCACGTTCTCAAATGTGACGTGTCGTGTGACATCATAGACTAGCAGTGCACCAACCGCTCCTCGGTAGTAGGCACTCGTGATTGCACGGTATCTTCAGCAAAATTAAAAAATGAAACATCACATGTCATACATCCGCATTTTTTACTAGTGAATGATAAGAATAAAAGGCCAAAATGTTGTTTAATTGTGATTACGCGCAGTCTCAGAAATTCAATTGCATAGAGGAAGAAGTGACATTCACCCTAGTGTGAAACCTAGAAAGATATGATGCACAACAAAAGTAGAAAATGAGAAGTTGAAAATAATTTATACCATAGAGGTGAGGTTGACTACACATCTCTAAACCCGGGAGAGTAAAAGACTTTCTTGGCCTACTAGATGTACAGAAAGGATCTAGGATTAACAAGTTAAAACTTTTACTCTCTTTGTCTCCAAATTAGCTTTTCATGTAAAGAATTGTGTTGTTGAGAAGGAAACTTGGGCACGGAGGGAGTAAAAAATTATTTTTGAAGAAAATTGTGGTAACACTCTCAAAACACTGGGAGTGTTCTTGAGAGTTTTCATTTCTTTAACGAAAAAGAAACTTTAGAAAATAAGAAAAAAATGACACATAGAAATCTCCATATTATTCAGGTTAATGTAACACCTACTCCCATTTGTCTCACAAAAAACTTAAACATTTCCTTTTTCGTCCGTCAAATGTCACCTACTTCTCCCTCTCAACAAACGTACATAACAAAATAAACCATCAAACCTATCTGCAATGAGCCTTATAGGACTAATGCCAATACATAAATAAAGTAGAACATCGAAACTGAAAATGTTGTGGCTCTATTGTCAATGTAGCTAGCACTTTTTAGAAGAAAATGACTTCCCAGAGTTCCCACTCATGTTCAAGATGTGAGATCTACCTGGATTTCAAATCAAACCCCTTTCAATCAATTGCTATCAGTCACAATACTATCCAAACAGATGGAACCAAACCAGATCTATTGTTTTCATATCTCATTGTCACCAACCTAAGACTAATAGCAAAAGTTTAGCATTCCAGAAAACGGAAATCCTTCAATATAATGCACAAACCACATACAACCGATTTTACAAACAATTGAGGGGAAATTTGAGGACATGAAATAGGAATGTGTATACGCAGATAGAGTGACAGATAGATAGAGCGAGAGAGAGGGGGGAAGTTACCGCTCTTGGCCGGCGGTGTCCCAAATCTGGGCCTTAACGACCTTGTCGTCGACGCGGATGCTGCGAGTGGCGAACTCGACGCCGATGGTGGACTTGGACTCGAGGCTGAACTCGTTGCGAGTGAATCTGGAGAGGAGATTGGATTTTCCGACGCCGGAGTCGCCAATCAGCACCACCTTGAACAAGTAGTCGTAATCGTCGTCCGCTCGATACGCCCCCATTCTTCGCCTCCGCTGTGCTAGATTCCTTACTACTACCAGGAATCTCTCTCTCTCTCTATATATGTATATATGTATATGCAGAGAAAGAGAGATTGATGAATGGCTATGGAGGAGGAGGACGACGATGATGGTGAATGGGGCGCTGAGTTTTGAAGGAGCTGGGAGATCTACTCAAAATCTGTAGTGGCTCCTAGTTCCTTGCTTTAAATTTTCCCTTTTTTCTCTCTAATTATTTTTCGAATTTATCCCATAAGTATCATTATCCTACGTTGTCAATTATTTTATTGAACAAAATTTGAGTTTGATTTCCATTTCAAATTTCAAACATGTCAACAAAAATAAGCTACTCCTTATTTAACATTTTAACGGAATGAAATTATTAATAAGATAATTACTCTAAGATACTTTTAATTTTCTGATAATGACTCTCATATCTCACATTATTTGAAATATACTCTGGAGTATTTTCAATTTTTTGATAAGAATTTTCAAGTCCGACATTATGTGAAATGCACTTTGCGGTTCCGAAAATAAATTAAAATTTAGGGTATGTTTGGTTGGGAGGAAAATATTTTTCTAGAAACTTCTGATTTTCTTTTTTCTTGCTTGCAATATAAAGCGAAAATGATATCCGTCTAGTTTCGAATAAAAATTGCGACTCACTCTCCGCCCTCGCCCCATCTGCTACTATTGCCCCCTGTCACCCCCGAGCCTTGCATCCACAACCCCATTTCCCATCTCTATCACTCGCCATCACTACCCCTTGCCCTCGGGGATGGACCCATGTTGGGTAACACGGGGTCAAGCAACCCCACAGAAATTTTAAATTTTTTTAGTATGTGTGTGTATAATTTTTTTAGTGTATACCTAGATTTAGTATATATTCTACAAGACGCTACAAGTTTCAACTTGTATGTGTTGAAGGAGTGGAAAGCTTTGTCTTTTGCATTTGGATGGGCGATTGGGCGGTCATGGGTTTGAATCCAGTGTAGGATGAGAATATATTACTTTTTGCAAGATGCATTTTTAAATACGGTGTCATTTTTTCCTTTTTTTCCCCTATTTTCTCTTAAACCTAAAAAAGTTTGACCCATCCCACTTTCCAGACAAAATTGGAAGTCTTCAGTCTCAAGTTCTCAACCGACCCATTCTCTCTCCGACTACAAATCTCCACCGGACGGCTGGACTGCCGCTTGGATCTGCCGGACAGTACGACACCCCAATTGCTCGAACAAATCTTCATCTTTCATTGCTACTTTGTCAGGTTTTTTCTTACATAATTAAATCTAATTATCTAAATTGGATATTTATTTTTTTATTTGTAAATTGTGAAAATTTTAATATATTGTTATAAATTTGTTATTGTAAATAGCAGAATAGAGAATTGAATTCGTTTATTTATTTTATAAGATTGTGATTTGTGAATATGTTATTATAATTAGGTTATGTTTTAAGTTTAATATGTTTTTAATTATTTAAATTTCAGTATAGGATGCAAAGGTATTTTAAAAAGGTACCAAGATTTGAAGAGAAAGAATCGAATGAGAATCCATCAAATTTGAACGGAAATGCTTCGTCATCTTTAAATCATCCACCAAAAACATCAAATTTGAATTCAAATGTTTCATCATCTTTAAATCATCCAGTGGAACCATCGCATTTGAATCCAAATATATCATCATCTTTTGATTTTGAATCATTAGAGGCTGATCCGAGACTAAGAAAGAGAATTATAGATTATCATCCACATGTGCAAGAAGAAATTCGCCGTTCTTATCTAAAAAAGAGTCATTTCCAATCTAAAGCTCATAAGTTTCGTGTTACAGTAATGTCAGATTATAATAGTAACTTTCGTCCAGTTTGGTTTGATGAGTACCATTGGTTGGAATATAGCATTGCAAAGGATTCTGCATATTGTTTTTTATGTTACTTGTTTAAAAATATCAGTGATGTTGGTGAGTTGCCCTCTAATACCCAGCCCATTCTCGTCCACCTCCATTGCGTCATCCCTACCCCTTGTCGTGGGCTCTCATACCTTGTTACCCCTTATTCAATTTACACCAATCTGCATGTGCACATCTTCCCCCCGCCTCACCCACCGCAGCCCTCTTACCTACCTCCATCCTATTGTGTTTTGCTGCACCGCCTGCACGAAGAGACAATTTCTCAACTGCACGACTCCTTCCACCGATCTCCTTCCGCACGATTCCAGACCAAGCTCCGATACTAGTTTGTTATGATAGACGCGAGAAAGTATGAACACGAATAATCGGCAATGGTGATTTACCTGTTAGTAACCTCCATGAACATAAGAGAAAAAATATTATTTATCAGTATTTTCTAACCAGATTACAGATTCTCTCTACCATGATTTGAAAAGTACAAATACAAGTTGATATTTGATATTTACAGGGAAGAGAATAGGTAATAATCATAATCTTATTCATAGTCGTAATCTCGATAGGTCTAGAATACGGATTCAAGACATTTTCTAACATACTGTCTACCGTCACTCGCCAACTCACGTCATCCGCCCATATCCTTCTCATCTCTGCCCCGCGCTAACATCCCCGCTCAACGTCCCACCACTATACCACTAAAATAGCTTAAGGTAGTGTTTGGCAACTAGCATTTCATTTCAATCCATGCATTTCAATTCTAAAATTTAAAATCTTGAAATTCAAATGACAAGGAGAGGAGCATGGATTTCAAATTAAGCTTTGTTTTGAATGAGAAGAATTTGACTTAAATCCAAATTCAAATTTTTTAAGTTTCCCAAACATGGGATTTAAGCCAAATCCAGATTTGAAATCCAAATCCATGTTCCCAAACATACCATAAAACTATTCGAAAAACATATTTTTGAATATCAAATTTGAAATCTTAATAATTAATTTTTTTTGTAATAATGAATTTCTTCCTACTACACAATGGAAATTATGTGGAAAAAATAATAATTTTTCTTTGTAAATCATTTTCTTTTGGAAAAATATTCTTCTCGAAAAATATTTTCCTCCTAATGAAAGCTACTCTTATTTAATCACTTATCGATCATTCTGATATAAAGTTGCACGTAACATTATTTATTGGATCAAAATGTCTTAACGTCAATCGTTAACTAAAAATATTAACCAAGATGTGTGGTACCGTAGTCATGTTATTTTAATTTGCTCTCTTGAGTGGTTAACTCAAATTCATAGAGTTCAAATTAAATTAATAACAAAATTATATAAATAAACTAAAATATTAAGCTTATGTCAAAAAATTTAGATAACTTAAAACAAAATTTTAGATTTATGCCTGAAAAATTTAATAATTTTAAACGGATATGATTAATAAACAAAGACATCCATCACAATATCATTGAATAACAAATATTGGTCTAGAGTGTTAACAACTAACACTCAAATTCGCCATCACGCAACACATGAATCACGCCAGTCTTACCATATAACGAAGTATCTGATTTGTTTTGATCTGATTTAATTAAATTCTAGCTTGATTATAATTACATTTAAAATTGTTTGTGAGCTAATTCTAATAAAATTAAATAATAAGTGAAAAATAAGTTATGGTTGAAGAGCATATTGTCTCTGGTATGTCGTCCTTGTTCTTTTGGGTTGAAAGATTTAACTCCCAACTTTTTCAACACTTTTCAGTTTTTTTTTTAAACTTTTTCCAGTTTCTTTTGACGACGACTTAAAAAATCTATATACGGTGAATATATAATAACATTATATATATAAATTTATAACATATCACCTCAAATACAAACATGGATGAATTTTTTTATTCCAAAATTTAAGTTCTATTATATTTTCATTTGAGTGTTCATTAAATTGAGTTCCAACCAAAAAAAGGACCGTACTCTGTAGTCTGTACTGTCTTCCCAACGTCCTTCATCCCTTTCGATTGGGGGAAACACAGGACGCATCAAGGATCAAGGATTATGATGGTGAATCTAACCGAGACATCTCCTGTATATTCCAGTTCCGATCAACACGGCTTCCTGCTCGTAGTATAGTATGGTGAGGTACCGAGGTTACCAATCTTGACTTCGTCATATGCGATTGCACGCCACCTGCTCGACGTTATTTCGCTTTCAATTCTTCGGGTTGGCCGCCCAAAACACAAAGATCACAAAATGGCGACGGCAAAGCTTAGGCAATGTCTTACTCATGTCCATCTCTCTGCGCCGGCGCGCACTCTTTCTTCATCCGCAGCGCTGGAAGAATCGGTTAGTGCGGCTGTCGGAAGCAAGCGGTACGAGCGAATTCCCGACATTCTCGCCGCCTCCGATCAGTCTCTCCAAAAGAACAACCCTTTCTCGTTCCTCTCGACCATCCCGGAGAACGCGAGAATCAGAGTCGTTCATGGCATTTTGCAGTCCTTTATTCCCCTCCGGCCACGGTCTCGTCCTTCCAGGGCTTATTCTCTTCTCCTTTCTTACACCCTACAGAGCTCTAACCCTCTCCCTATATCTCTTGCGATTCTTCAACGCACTCTCCGTTCTGGGTGTGTTCCTCCCCCTCAATCCCGCTTGCTCCTTTCCAACGCCTGGATTAAACGCCGGAAGGATCTGCTCTCCGTTGCTGATATACTGTCGGAGATGAAGTTAATCGGGTATAACCCGGATTCCGGAACTTGCAATTACCTCATTTCTTCTCTCTGCAAGGTGGACCAGTTGAAGGAAGCTGTTAATGTGTTGCATGGCATGGGACAAGCCGGTTGTGTTCCTGATTCGGACAGCTATGGTTCTTTGATTGCTGAGCTTTGTGAGCTCAGAATGATTGATGAAGTTGCTGAGAAGGTGAGGGAAATGGTGGTCACAGCCGGATTGAACCCTAGGCAGGATATTTTGGTGAAAGTGTTGGCAGCAATGCGGGCTAACAAGGAGATATGGAGAGCGGTTAAGATGGTCGAGGCGCTTGAAGCCGAGGGAGTGTTTCTTGGATTTGAGTGCTTTGAGCTGGTTTTAGAAGGTTGCATAGAGTGCAAACAGTTTGTTTTAGCAGGGAAAGTTGTGATGGATATGACAAAGAAGGGGTTCTTACCGTACATTAAGGTAAGACAGAAGCTGGTTGAGGGTCTTGCTGGCATTGGAGAATGGGAGCTCGGAAATGCTGTGAGGAAGAGATTTGCTGAGCTAAAGTCATAGTCTTGGCTGGTCGCTCATTGGCATATAGGGAGCATCAACTTCTTTCATTGCATCATCAGAACTCAGAAGTCCTTTTTCATGGTCCGTATCACAATTGCCCTTCTATTTACATTAATTTATGGCTTCAGGTAGACATGTAGTGTGGTGTTTTCTGATGAGGATCATATACGGAGTATAAGCCAGGATGAGCAAGCTCACTTTGCTGAAGTGAAAAGCGTTCATGTCTCAAATGTTAATACATTTGATGCAAATAGTTTTTTATTTTATTATCTTGATTGATTTGATGAGTTGTCGTGCTTGACTTTAAGTGGTCTGACCCAAAATACCATAGAATAAAATGGACCAGAAGATCAAGTAAAAACCATAAGAAATACAGGACAAGTTGTCTGTATAGCTGTATTGCCTTGTAGTATAAGTTTATGAGTGTACACTTCTCAAGGGAAGAGAGAGCCCTTTTTTATGCTAAAGAAGGGCATGGGACTGAATGGGGATTCAATATGGCCTGAACCTTCACGATAGAAGAACTACAAGGAGATTTGTTGGTCTGCCAATTGCCATGGTGACATTGCATTATTATGGCCTAATGCTACTGGGAGCAAGGCCCATGATGTCTTTCATGTTTCTACTGTTCACACTGTCATGGGCATACTGCATCCCGTTCATTCAACGAATGACATGCCTCAATGTATTGCAGTCATGGGAAGCCACCTAAATCCGATGACCTGTGGTAGTTCTCCAGTGAGCTAGTTACCAGAGCAGGGAAGAAGCAACTTGGAAGGAGTTGAGTTCCGTCCACACCGCATTTTTTACTCTTGGGCTTGAGGACACTCTTGTGTACGGGAACAGGATAGGAGGAGTATGAGAGCCCTAAAGGAATGTACAAGTGATTTGGCAATGATAGCCCTACATTCTGTCACTATATAAGGTGAAATAATTAAATAAAATATCACCTACTAATTAATAACATATCCTAAATTTCCCAAAATAATCCATTCACAATTTTTGTTTACGGTCATAAAGCCAACCCTCCCCACCAAACATGCGCCCCATCCTCCTCCTCCTCAAGCCTCCGCCGCATTTACTTCTGGCTCCCCCAAAGTCCCACTATATCAACCACCAATGCTCACCACCCTAATCAAGAAACTTTCTCCTTTTGCATCAACCGACACTTTTTGCAGCATTTCCATCATCCCCGTGGCAGAGCCCTTCTGTCTTTTCCCTCAGTACGGCCGTGCTCATTTTCTTCATCGTTTTTTTAACTCAGCCAACAAAATTGGGGATTCTCTGAGGACGAGGTCTAGTTGGGCAGGGACATAGTGATCTAAAGTGGTTGTGGGGAGAGTGGATGCGCGTGCTGAGGTGGTATTCAGGTTTAATTAGATCAGCGTGGCCAGTCAAATTGGATTGAAATAATGGTGGGGAGCCCAGAGGGTTTTCAGGT